GTTTCGAGGAGTACATGAAAACCCTGGTCTTCAAGTGCGAGGATGGCGAGTCTGGTTATCTCAACTGGACAGTGCCCACCAATGCGCCCGATCAGCTTTACTATCAGGTAAGTTTTGCACTAGAATGGTGATATAAGGCTATATAATCCTCGACAACTCCTTTGGCAGTGCTTTACACATAACAATCTGGGCTGGAAAATCAACGTTGTGGACATGGGCGCCTCTAGAGGATCGATCGCCAGCAGTCACCAGCTTTTATTATACGGAGTTTCTACAGTTTTTAGCCTGGTCGCGACACGTCTGCTTTTTTGTGGCCACATACTTGCCTGATAGTGCCGCCAGTAAATTGGCTTAAATTCTAGGTGTACTTCAAAACCATGGACAGATAAGAGTTCGAAATTTGAGTACATATCCAGATCCTTACATATTCATTACCATAACTATATCCTGCCCTACTTAAAACATTTCCATCTTCAAACTTCTCGAGACGAATTTATAATTTCACATCGACACACTCGGGACTTGTCTGTCGGTGGTTTTGGGCCACTTGGCGACTTTCACAACCAGGCTAATATCATCTGACAAACATATCTTGACAATAATTCGTAAGATGTAAAACTGTTGAAATTGTGTGTGCATGCGTGAGGGCACACTGTAGCGGTACCGCTACAGTGGGCGTAGAATGGGTGTTGAGCCACAGCCGGAATTTGATTGGTTGTTGGCAGTAGATTTTTGTGGCTAGGCAGCGAGAACTTTTGTACATTTACGAGTATGGAATTCTACTTTTTTACATGTATACTTATTAAATTTACTTATACATCTACATCTCTAGTACAGTAAAATTGTAATTTTTCTAGCAACTACTACAAAACCTACACAGGCATGTAGATACAGAATCATGTTTAAAATGCGGTTCTATCGAAATATAAACCGACAATAATAACGCAACACTGCGACAATAAATTAATGATAGTAATAGTGTGTGTAAACAACACACAAAAAATATCAAACAATATAATTTAGATGGGCTGCAAATGAAGCTCAAAGGAATTGTACAATAAGAATATGGATCTAGGAAGGGCAGAAACCAATGCAATTTGTATGACAATAATATCTACAGATTTGTGAATTTTGAGAAAGTTTCGCAGACAATACAATACTTTTACACAATTTGAATGTACTAAGAAACTAAAGACAAATAAGAAAACTATGTTATTTAATGCTACTGACTACTGTGGTGCTTCTTGTAACAATATTAGATGAAATGTAAATCACATGCCGCACACGTTTAGAATGAAAAACAAGAATCCCCCTCTGGACGGGATAAAGTTTTTGTTATCAGATGGTTTTCTTGTAACTTTTTTAACTATATTTGCATAATTGGTGTTTTTATATAAGCATGATATATATATATATATCGTATATGTTTACAATAAGCGATATGTTTATAATGGCAAGTGAAACAGAGAAACACACAACTAACATGTACGACAATAAGCAGTGGACAAATAAATAAGTCTGCTAAATACTTGATATTTATTCGACAAGGCATTGAATATGTAATATTATAAACTGATAAATATGCATGCATGGTAAATCCTTTTGATAGTTGTTCGCTTTTATTTTGGACTATGGCTTGATGTAAACAAACATAAATCTGGCAAAATTAACTCTGTAGCCAGAGCTAAGATCCCCATTATATGAGCTGATTTAAATCAAAGGACTTACTTTTCCTAGGAATATTAATGTGTAAAAAACTATTGGACACTAAAGTTTGTTAAGTTTCTGTTGTATTCCTTCGTTTCCTTTCCCTCTATAAGTTTACATATTTAAGGGTCACTATGCTGTAGTAATGTACATTTTCGGGTAAAAAGATATAGAAAAGTGTAAGGATCCATAAACTACAACTATGGAGAGTTTTGATATTGAAATTTGACAGGATCTGGAGCAGGTTTATAAGTCAAATTGATTTTTGTATAGTTAATGCAGCTAAGCGCACAAGAGTCCAGATAAAATGAAACAATTGATAATGATTAACGAATCAAACGATTTATATATAAATTCACACCTTTATATTCAATTGATATACATAAACATAAATACATATTTACATTTAACAAAAGGCAAGAATATGACTTTCAAAGAATATCCCAAGAATATAAAAATTTCCATGTCGATTATAACTTAACATCTCGTACTTAGATAGCAACATTTTTCTGCATTACCTAAGCAAAATACTTTCATTAAAAATAAAAAAAATCAAAAGCAACTTGCATTCAAATCTCCAATTTAATAAATAGATATTCATGAGTCGCTGGCTAGGAGGGTGAGGAAGAAACTAATCCATTTTTAAATGTTATTAGATCGCATCAGATCCAGCAAAACCAAACCCGATTGACAATAAGTTGCCATGAAATTGGACAGTTCAAATAAGTGGTAGAGAATTGAAAGATTGATGTCAATAATAAGAAGCTTCACAAGAAGAAAAAACAACAAATGGCGTAAAAAACGAATATTCTACAAATAAATTTCCGAAAAACAAATGTTATGGTTTTTTTTTTCTGGGTTTCAACTTTATGTATATTTGTTAAAAAGTATGTAATAGTTTTTGACCATGAAGTGTGAATATTCTAGCCCCGTTGACATAGTTATGCCTGAAAGCCATAAACCTCGAGGTCTCGGAAAATATAAAATAATAAACGGGTATCTTAACAGTCGGAGGTACTCGACTATAATTTTTCTTCCCATTTAATTTAATTCTAGCCAATAATGGCAAAGCATTTAATCTTATTTCATATTTATTATTAATGTCGGGACGGCGCGAACGCCATTCCCGGCTACCAAAAATTACACGCACGAGTTATTCACATTAGGAATAATCGCAGAGGTCAACTCAGCCGAGGTGCAATGGCCAAGCCTCACTCCGGAGGAACCGCCTTCGTGATCACGGTTAACCTCTACGCCAGGTAAGTATGTTTTTCTCCGCTCGGCAGCAGGGTTTCCATGCCAGAACAGCTAGAACCAGTTGGGAATTACAACGAGTCGTCTGCGAGACAAAACACCCCTATAAGTATACCTCACGAAATGTGCTAGCATGCGCAGTTGAAGCACGCGTTTCATTTCCAGCTGAGGCCGTTTGTTGGTAAACAAAAGTGTAAGCCTTTATATTTATCCAATAATAAAGGCATAAAGTTCCGTGTTTTTATGCCATGGAATTTCAGACGACATACCACCCAAAGTTTTATAAATCGGTATTTAGATAACCAGTCATTTACTTATCACATAATTCCTTCTTTAAATATTATTTATTAACACTAACAGTCATTAAATATGCATTATGAAGAAACCCAAATAGTAAATATGTTTTTTTATTTAATTTAAACATTAACTTAAAACTTTTTAAGTACAAAAACTAATGTTTTAAAATTTTTGGACTAGTCGAATTTGTTCAGATATAATATGATATATTTATTTTACTGCACTAATAAATTACTACATTTCTGCAAAAAACGTTATTTAAACCAAATAACTAATTTTTCGATTGTGATCCCAAAATTTAAAATAGTAAAGGCAACATTTTTCTATTAGATTTTATGGGTTCAAATGTTCGAATAGAGCCACCGTAATTTTTTGCCAACTATATGATCATAAGTATGCGGATCCTTTTAGGAAGTCACTTAATTGTTTTAACCGGCTTTCTTTTTTAAATTCCTTATAACATTAAAACAAACAGATTTGAAAATCTTCGCACTGTTTTGGAAGACAGTCAAGAGACAGTTGTAATATACCATTAAGAATCAATGAAGTTTATATGCCATAATATATAAATCTATTGGAACCATTTTTCTTAGATATCAGAGCAAACATTCCATATCCATGAGCAAACCAATAAGACACCATTAAATAAAAACAATCGAAATCGTTTATGTGTATTGCTAGAAAGTTTTTATTTTACATTTTGTATTTATTATGAACTATTTTCTTTTTTTGTTTTGTTTTGCAATGTTGTGATTTGTTAACACACTGCGGCGCAACATTAAATGAACACACAGACGTGTTTAATGCATACAAAATAATAATACAAATAATCGTAATGCGTAATAATAAGATATAAGATTAACTAACTTTGTAATGCATAATGCGATTTGGGCAGAAAATGAATATCAACATACATAGATCGCTGCAGATACATTTAAACCTATATAGATCTAGATATACGTATGATGCTATCATGGGTAGTACATAATGCGTTCGATTTCATGAACTCCCTTTTTATACGTATTTGCTGACAGAGTTTTGAAACTGTACATGTTGTTCATACGGTTTTGTTTTTGTTTATGTTTTCGTTTTCATTGTTACTTGTTATTTAGAATAATGCTTTACCACATTTTTATTTGTTGAAGTTAAATGGATAATTGTGTTAGATTCTCCTCGTTCGTTCTTCGGTTTAAATGTAAGCTCTAGATTTGGTGAGAAATACGTAAATGTTGTTTCTGCATATGGGCTGGATGCCCAGTCCATAGCAATGTTGGGTAGTTGCAATTGATTGCGAATAATAAGGTTCAACGATTACATTTCAATCTTGTTTGTTTTTACACAATTATACACAATTTATGCGGTTGCCGTTGGGGCTATAAATATATCTGCGATTTACATTCGGTCTCAACTTTTACAATTATGCAATTTCCATTCGTATTAATTCGTATGGTCGATGTGTGCTGCTGATCATTGCGTTTGTTTGCGTTGCAGTCATTATTTCAAATAATTTTTACATTATACAGTGGGGAAACCAAACATGAAACGTAAACATGCAAATTTGATCGGGGAATGGGATGTCTAATGCGGATTTGTTAACTTCGCAATTAATTGAATTGATTTGCTTAACATAATGCAGCAATTACATATCAGCAATTGATTAATGAAAAACTAAAGTCGCCAGAGACACAACAAATACAAACGTTTCTTTGCTTTGCTTCGATTAAATTTGTTCTCTTTTTGTGTTTCAGTATTCAGTATTTTCTGTTGCCTTTTAATGTTAATTAATGATAATAAATAAAGCCTAGTTTTAATGCCTGCTTCAAACTTGGACATCTTTCAATTACTACAGTATCTATATAGACGTAAATACAATCCATTATATTTATATTTAATCTAGATTATCCTGGAATATTAATTTAATGTAGCCGGTCGCACCATCCAAGGGCGTCGCACAGAAGGGACAGACGGCCTGAAATCCGTTGGTGCCGTGCGGTATCTCCACATTTGCCCAGTATCTGCAAGAGTAGAGTGGATAGAGGTGTACCCCCAATTAGTAGAGTCAATTTGCAGCCTGTAGCCGTCTGGCTTCAGTTGCTCTCACTTGACAGTTTTCTCAGTCGCCATGTGTCCGCATGGATTGAATGCGTACGTCGGAGCGCCCACGTCCACATAGAAGGCCGGTTCCAGACCCATGCACAGCGTGACCACCGGGCCGAGTTCCAGGCACATGGGACAGCGGCGGGCCCCGGTGTTCTCGTCCTGACCCCAATCGTGATGGCCTGCCAACGGAATCGAGCGGAATTATAGATTTGTGTGCCACTCTGAGACGACAACCGCACTCACCCTGGACGTGGCCGCAGTTTAAGTACACGTAAGGCTGGTTCACCTGATCCCCAATGTTAACTTTGCGTGGTATAACCAGTGTGTTCAGGCCCACCGGGCACTGTGGACGACCGGCATTAATGGCATCGATAAGTTTCTCCAAATCGTGTTTGGTCTGCAATTAATAAACAAATTTTTAATCAATGTATATTTTGTTTATCATGATTTTTTGATTCTAAATACATCATTGCAAAAGGTTTTTTAATATTTTGTTTCCTAAAGAAGAGTCTTTTGTTGTTTGTTAGTATACTAAGTGACTAGCGCATTAACTTATAAGTTCCAAAATTTAAGTGTTATGATGACATTTTATAATAAAATATAAATACAAAAAAAATACTCGTAAATATCTTTACCATTTTTTTTAATCATAATAATTCTTTCTGCTTTAATATAACTGTTTTAAATATCTCGAAATTGAGCTCATGATATAAATCGAGTTTACAATCGTAAGCTTTAATGCATTTGAATTTAAAAGTTTTTTTAATTTTAAATTTTAAAGTCCTGGTTTATGGTACCGTGCCAAACTTTATGGAAACTCATTCCATATTCTTCCTGTTTTTAAGCCTTTTCGACTCACCGGCGAATGTTGCAAGCCCTCGGCGGAACGCCAGAGCAAGGTTGCGCCGCAGAGATCAATAAGTGTGCCATCCTGCAGGATGTTGCATTCGTCATAGATCTGGGGAAATGCGGAATTTTGTATCAACTGTTAAAGGTTAAAGGTTAAAGATAACAATTGAACTTACGGGCTGACCCTTTTGCTGGGCCGAACGCGACTCGCGCAGGCTGAAGACATCGCCGCCCACGGAGCACTCGCGCCAGAGGCCGCACTTGGCATTGCCGCCACAGAAGGAGCCCTTGGGGTGCATAATCAGCACGCCGTTGGTGGTCAGACCATCGATTTCCACATTGTCCTGCCACTTGGTGGCCTTCTCCTGTGCAAAGTCAAGTTCGAAGCTCATTAGAACCAGCAGGGGATTAGTGGATGGATGGACAACCGGCCGACTTACCCCAAGGAATATGTTTCTGCTCGAATCGAAGCCGGCGGCGAATATTCTCGCCTTGGCAGGCTCACAGCGGTTGACCAGAATGCGGCAGGCGAAGCGAGAAATGGTGCTCTGCATCACCTTGGCATCCTTCTTGTCGCCGGGCAGCGTGTCCATCACCACAAAGTCAATCGGTGACTCCGAGGAGCGTCCCACCTGGCAGAGCAGCGAGCAGAGAGCGCAATCATGATTAGTCGAGGGAGGCACACACACAACTGATTAGGTAATTTATCACTGGGGACTCATGCGATATTGGCATTATACTTTAGGCGAACGAGGAAGTGGTGCTTCGGTTGCCAGACCAACATATAAATATTGAATGTCGCTGTCAAAAGTCAAGAAAACAGACCTCTGACCTTCGTGGGGCGTGCACTATTTCAGGCCCTTGGCGGCTCTCTAATTAGCCAAATAACATTCATCAAAGTCAGGCCGAGAAACCGAAGCTCCTGAGAGGGATTGTCAGCCCGGAATGTGAAAAGTGCTGGGTATCTCACCTGAAACATGTCCGTTTCCGCATCCTCCTTGTACTCGACGATTACCGCCTGGTTGCGCGACAGTGTGTACGAGATTGAATGCTGGTTGGCATCCAGTATGGCCTTCGAGGTCTGTGGCGATTGGACGATGTAGTGTTTGGACCGCTTGACGCCGCTCGCCTCCGTCCGCTTGTGCAGCACGAACTTGGAGCGTCGCCGTCCGCGATCTCCCTGTGGCAAGTAACCATTGTAGCTGCAACGACACAGATACAATTGTATGAGATACATTTGCCGACAGATGTGGGGCAAGTTGATAAGAGCTGACATGCGGGATTATTGCTCAACTAATATATTTCACTCGGTTTGTGGGTCAAGTTCTGCGTGGCCCTATGTGTTTTTGTTTGCACAATTAGAGTGGCGCCTCTCTGCCACCCACAGATAATGGCCACTAATAACTCAAAGAATTGCCACCCTGGGTTATTTCGGTCTCTTTTTACTGCATTAGCTAGACCATAAACCATGTAATTACCCACGGTTGTCTGTTCAAACAATAGGAATTATTATTTACTCAGGGTCGATAGTGTCTGACACAGCAGATGTCAATTCTTCCGAAGTTGGTGAACAATATAAGCCAATTTAGTTTTATATTCACATATGGCAATGTATAAACTATATAATAATCTAAAGTTCAGTCAATGAAGAAATGTTGAGACAAGTTCTTTGAAAGTCAACCATATCGAGAGGGTAATAAACAACGCACAAAAGCTATTTTCCATTGAAAAAAATGTGTGTTTAAAAAAGTATTTACGACCATTAAAGATACGATTTTCCAAGATACATTAATGAAGCTATAAAATTACAAATGTTTGCTAGAATATAAATAGTTTTTGATTAATCGAAATGAGCATGTAAAATCGAAAATTTTATTATTCCGGACTGAGTCCCCTAATCTTGCTTATTTTCCCAAACATTATTTCCTAAAAATAAGACTCATAAAATGTCAATAATATTTTATATGATTTCATTGACAAACTGTTAAAGATTGATCCCAGAAAGTACCGATCCCCCGTTGAATGTAATAAAATCTAGATTTTCCTATGAAATGATCTTGTCGGAGAACAATCAACTTTCCGTGCGTGATGTAAAATTCTGAGAACTGGTACCCTTCAAACGAATCAAAAACATAAATCGAATCCATGTTTACAGCCACGTTTGAACCCTCGGGACATGTTGACCTTTAAATTTGTAACTATAAGGCTGGCTGCTCATGTTTTTGAATATGTTCGTATGCCCACATTTGGCAAGCTTTGTTTTTTCAGTTTGTTAATTGGTTATGTCTTATTTTGATGACAACAATTAAGAGTTTCAGATTTGCTGACAACAATTCGAGTGTTCGTAGTAGAGTCTGTCAGCTTCTTTGCCCGTGGCTTGTTGTCCAGCAATCATCGTCTGGTTGTTGTCCATCATATATCACCAACCGCGACAATGGAGGGGGAATCCTCAATGAGTGACCACATGTTGCTCGGGCGACCAGACCAGCATGGTTGTCATGATAAATGGGGAATTGATGGAGAACTACGCAAGGGTCTAGTCTACGCTCCCTTAATTTTTCCAGCCCTGCCTTTTGTCCGATGGGCAATTAAAAAGTGTTAAGATAACAAATGCCAGCAGTAACAACTGGGACATAAAGAACACAGACTGCAGCTCCGGCACAAAATGCTTTCGGCTAATGACTCAAGTCAGGAGACTGTTTTCTGGAGTCTGTGAGTCGCACTTTGGCAGTGAGTCAGCGGCCAAGCGTTGCCAATCAGCACAATGTCAAGCGCTTGCTGTTGTCCCGTCGACCGTCAACCGTCGAGATTTACAATCATCCGTTTCCGTCCCAGCTGCTGGCCAGAACCATCAATCTCCGCCGGCGGACCGCTGCGTTGATCAAATTTATGCGGCTAGCTCAATGCTTACAGAGCCGGCACTTAAACTTCTGTAAGCGGTGGTGCTGCGTTTGACGGATTGGGTTTGTGGCTGGAATCGGTTGGTCTCTAGGTGTGCGCGGTTTTCGTTGAAGACCCCATAAAAGTGCAGTGAAGCTTAATTTATGAATCCATGATAAACGATGGGTAGATTTAAGAAGATTCTGTTCGGATGGAGTTGTGTCAAACGTAACTGGTTGGGCAATCTTTGATCTTTGAATCGGTAAGTAGGTAATATGTTTAAGCTGATTAGATTTTAATCGAAAATGTGACACTTGCGTTAAGAATGGATATGTTATTGGATTACCAAAAGATGAAATATGGTTGCCTAATAGACTAGGTCTTTTCGTTACAAAGACATCTCTTAAACATTAAATCAAAGTGTTTTAAAGTCCTTTACTTATCTTTACCAATTAAGTCTATTATCTTATCATTTATTTGGCCATAACTAAAGCGAAAGTTTTCTGTTACCACATGACAATTTGAACGATATGAATTGACTCAGCTCAATATATTGTTGACCTAGCCCTTGTTTTACTCTAAAGCTCCTTAATTGAAATGCTTGAAGTCAAAGAACAAAGATCTACAAGTCTTGAAGTGGTTCATTCCAGCACTTGTCAAGTGGTTAGTTCTGCCTTATAAAACCACCAAGTACTTACGGCCCAAACAAAGTACTTTACTTTGGGCATTGCCATACTTTTATCATTTCTTTAGACTCACCCGAGTATCACTAGTTCCCCGTAGCGCAATCGCGGTTTGTCATGTCCATCGCCACCGTCTTCAGCCAGTATGGGAGATTCAGTGCCGTCGGTGCTGCAAGCGAAAATGGAATTGAGTATTACATATTTAGTGGAAATGCACATGGTTATGGTTTTTATTTCTATTTTATTGTAATGTACACATTGGAAATTGCTACAACTGCTTAGCCATTATGTGATGCAAGAAAACGAAAACAATAAGGGAAAAGTTTTCTCAGTGGCAAAGGGAACACAAAAGAAAGGAAAATGGCCACAAAAAACTAAAGCAAAACAATTTCAAAGTAAATGCCAAGGAGATTGCTCATTTTCAACATATTTTTGGCTCACACTTGCCACCCTTTTTCCCTCTATATATATATATATATTACTCAGCAACTTTTTAGCTTTCTAGAATTTCAAATGAGGAAATGGCTCCGCTCTGTCTCCGCTGCAGAGCAGTGCACTTGGAAAATAATGTCATATAGATTTAAGTAAATTTGCAAACAAAAATAAAATGTCCAAAAACTTCATTTCAATTTCAGCTTTTTTTGTTAAGTGTTTGAAAAGCATTATAAGGCTTTAAAAAGAAAAATGTATAATAGGCGTTCTTTATTTTATGGTTTGTTATTTCTGAGTGTAATTAGTTTTTCCTCAGAAGTCTTAGTAATGTAGTGCAGCCTATTTAGCGTCACGTTTCCACAGCTCGATCGGCAACTTGTAGGTAATCGCATCATTAGAGGGTTAATTATTTTCCAAATTGGTGGAAAATTTCCTCCAATAACGAATTTCTCATTAGCATGGATATGCGCGCCCTGTTTTATTTTTACTACATCTAAATACAAGTTTTGTTGTCCCTTTTTTTTTTTTTTGGGCACATCATAAACTTATTTACGGCAATCTAATAAACCAGCATGGCGCCGGTCCACGCCCACTCACAAACATGGCAAATGGATTTTTTTAAGAGGGGTAGAGGTGCCGAAGGGGGCTCGAGGGGGCTGCATGGGGCTGCTATGGGGTTGCATTGATTTTTGCTCGTTGCATTTAAACTTGCTCCCCTTTTGCGTGGACTGAATAATGGGCGGCTGGAAGCGAGGGCGGCGGGTGGGTGGCTCTTGAAATTGTGCAGTGCAGACTGAATTTCAGGGTGTGGAGGGTGTGGGAGGGTTGTGCACACCAGACTCTGGGCGCGTGCAAGGTGAAATGGCAATGCTCATCACTCTCTCGCCCTGTCTGCCTCTCTGTTTGCTGGCTTCAAATTAGCGCAGCAACTTTGTTTAGATATGTACAGACATTTCTGACGTGACGTACAGTACTCCCTACAACGGGGAGCCATTAACACCCGAAGCCTTAAGGATAGAACATTTTGATAATTTAACACAAGTGTACGAAGAAGCTAATATAAAAGATTAAACCAAATAAATAATTATAATTTTACACACATTCCCTTCAGTTATATTTGTATAAATATCAAGTTCAAAGGCCTAAAAAAACATTTTTCCCTTTAACTAGATTAATATTTAAAACAGTTCTGGTTTAATTATGCAATCAACAGGTTTAAAATTAAAAAAAAAAAGAAGAAAACTTGACTTCACAGCCAAGATAACATATATTTTTAGCCACAGCCAGGCTATAGTTAGCCACCCCCTACAATGGGACCACCCACCCGGCAGCAGCATTAGAAAATAAACTGGGTTAAATTGATTAAGCCGAGGCATGATTAATAATAATAGAAGTTTGTCATTTGACTGCTGTCTAAATTGAATTCAATTAGCAAACAAACTTGAGGAAAAACAAAGGCAAACAAAAAATTCGAGATGTGATCAAAATTGGAATCGGAGTAAATATTTACACAATATGCGTGTAGCCATAAGGCAAGCCTCAACGAGAAATGTCCCAGAATCCCCACCATCCATTTACAATTTAGGGCCACGATATTAAACAACTTTCAATTGAAACATATTCCATTTGAAGTGATATACTCTGCAGGGCTTCGCTGATAGAATTCATTAACAAATCGCATAAATCTTGATTATTTGATATAGCAGTTTGGAGGGTTTTACAACCCCCATGGTTCCATTGCTTTCGTGACTATTTCACATGCAATCAGCTGAGCTCCCTGCCTCCAAAGAATTTATCGATTTTCAAAGGCAACAATGCCACTATTTGCATACATTTCAATTTCAAAACTAAACCAAGCACATTACAACAGGCCAACCAAAAAAGCTGGCAAAAAAAAAAATCAAATACATCGCATCGGGCACATTGTGTGCTATAAAAAAAAAACACACGTACACATGAAGTTACTCACAGATACTGAAAGGGGTATCCATGAGATACGATATCTTTGATATGGCGCGACCCCAAAGTTTTTGCTGGTATGCGTGTTCGCATTTGTATCTGTGGTGCCGGCATCGGTTTTGTACTTTTGCTGTTGTTTAGGGAAATCAATTTTCGTGTCTGTGTGTTTGGGTTTACGCTACACTCAGAATAAATTTTGTGCTCAAAATTAGATTACAATAAATTAAATTAAAATGAGTTAAAACCATTCAAGTTTCTTTTAATATAAAGACATCAAATAAAGTTATAAAAAAGGTAATATTTTCTAAAAAAAATAAAAATGATTCTGACAATATTTAAATGTATTTAATATGTATTTTAAAGTTTGCTTAAAACTGTTTCAAGATCATAATGATTTAATGTTAGAAAACAGTTTCTGGAATTTAAGACAGAAATTAAATATCAACCTTTTGGTTTTAGAAAAGATTTATTCTGGGTGTAGTGCTGGCGCCGGTATTTGTGGGTAAAATGGGCGTAAAAGCGTACTTTATTATACGGAAGTGGAGGTGCCTCCACATTGCATGACAGTGCATCGATTTTCGCTCACTTGTGTTGCATGCAGGCCCAGAACGAGACCCACAACAGACCGCGGCATAGTTGGCCGACACAATCGCATTACAATAAATTTTGAAACTAACGCAAAGGGCAAACATCAAACATCGCTCCCCACGATTGCATGCTAAAAAGTGCAGAAGGACCCGCCATTAAACTATCAACCATCAAGGGTAGGGCTCTGAAATCAGGGCAACCGACCTGACCTGACCATAGGCAACTGCCGTCAGTGCAACCAAAGCGGTTTTTAATGTCACGGGGTCGCACAGCTTATGCAAATTAATTTGATTATTACACCAAAGTAACCCATGTATTCGTTGCATTCATTTGATTAGCTCGCCCACCTGAACGGGCGGCGGCGGTCCGCAAAATGAGGTCTCGCAAGGCTTTTAGCGTCTGGCTGCACCTCTAATTGAGTTTATCGGCGGACAGGGTCTAATGTGTGAATGTGTGAGGAGCAACAAGCGACGGGCACCAAGAGTCGAAAGGTCAGCGGGAATGGAAACACAGAAATCAATTGTGAGGAGGGGGAACCAAAGTTCTGTGTTTTTATTACTTCCAGGGAAGCTCATACGTATTTAAGGAATCCTTTAAGGCATGTATGTACTGATGTTGGCAATCGTAAATCGTAAATCGTAATTGTAAATAAAAGATATCTGTTTTACATATTTTAAAAAACAATTTTACATCAATACTTTAAAAAAAAGTCCATACTCTTATTCTTATCTTGGTTATGTGTTCTTCAGTAATTTCTTGATTAATTTACTCAATCTAGAAATGCATTAAGATTTTAAATACTTTAAACAAATCAAAATAAATGAAGTTTCTTATTGTTTTTCGTAACGATACTATCATAATCCACCCTCATTTGTATCGTCTTGGAGAAACAAAAAAGTAAAGCAATAACTCAATGCGACAACGATAGGCAAAACTTTAAAAACAACATTCTGCGGGCAAAGTTTTCTATCAAATTCGGCTGGCTGTTCTCAACATAAATGGCAGCTGCATCTGCTTCTTGGTTTGCTCCAGATTCAGTGGAAACGGGAGACATGGTTCACTATATTTATAACTTTCATAAATCTCCGAGTTTGCCTGTCAACAGCAGAGTGCGGGGGGTGAGAGGTCTCTATTTACATGCGGCGACGGCGGAGAAATAGGTATATTTGAACAACAGAAAAAGATAGTTCCACTTCTTGTTTATTTCTACCATTTGAAATTTGAGCTGGGGCGAAGGAGAATATTCAAACTGCAGTGTCGCCCCTCGCCTGTCATGCCAAATAAATGCAAAGACCAGCAAAGTGCAATGGCAGATTAAACAATAAACAAGAGGGGGGGAAAACAACAATGGCAGCACACACAGGTGAGAAGGGCGGACAGACGACACTTTTTTGCAGGTACATTTTGCTGGTTAAAGGGCGTGGGGAGCGGGTAGCGGGGAGCGGTAAGAGCAGGTGTTTCGTTACCATATTTTATGGTTAAATTTGCGGTCTGTGCTTTGGGTTAGCTGATGGGCGAAATACCGGGCTCTTCTCATGCTTCCCATGCCCATTCACATGCCGTGGATGTATCTGTATCTGAGTTCTTGCCTCTGTATCCATATCCGTATCTGTATCTGTAAATGTATCTGCATCTGTATCTGTGCACACGTCTCTGCCACACAGCTGTTTGCATTTCAAGAATGAAACTCTCATTGAGACAACTTCAAAAAACATTCACGAAAAAAACTCGTTTTGCCAGCAAAATTCAAGCACAAAGAATGGCCAGAAAAGAACATCAAAATTGCGAAGCATAAAAAAAGAACAGGGCAAGGGGAATGTACATGCATATAAATAAGTATAAAATAAGTATATATGTATAGTCTTTATAAACAAATTATCCATGATACTAGCTTAGAAAGTAAAGTAAGTTGTTTCAATGCAAGCAAGTGCGACATTTTAGCCTGGATTATTCTATTAAACTAGTCATACCAGGAAGTGAAAAAGGCACAAGTTTATGCTTCCAAAGTCTTTGTTAGAGAATAAAATATATATTCAAATTTAAACCATACAATGATTTACTTTATATTTGGCTTGAAACAAGATAAAGACATCAAATTAACTAGGAGACCTACTTCTAACGAAATAAGTTACAACTTCCCGGGCGTTGTATCTTTGAGATACAAGTTATTGCCATGGGGTGACAGGGTCA